GCTGTTTCCCTACGCGGCGTCGATCGCGCGCCAGAGCTCCGCCCCCGGGGGAGTCCGTCTTGTCGCTGGCGTTAAGCGCGTGTGCGTCGCCATCCCTGTTTCCGCCGAGGTCGGCAGCAGCGGCGGCGGGAGCGAGACCGCCGGAGGGTCTCACGAAGATTTGGAACTGGGATGTGGAGGGATGTGCGAGCCTAGCAAGCAGGACTTGGTGGCTGTCTTCAAGCGGCTCCGCGCCATTCCCACGAACAAGGTAAGCAGGAGGCGAGCGAAGACTTCGCGAATAACACGTCGCAAGGCGGCGAGAGGCGGAGCCCGTGAGAGGGCGATTCTGTGTGGGCCGGGAAGTTCAGCGCGTTGGAACCTGGGTAGGTGTAGGTGAGAGACCACCAGGAAATCGGAAGATTGGAGAGTGGGCTGGAGAGCCTGAGAAAAGAAGGCAGAGGGTTGCCTGGATACGTTCATCGAGTTACGGATTCAGTCCAGCTCGACTGGGAGAAAAAGCTAAGCAGAGTTGCTCCTGGTTAGTATTTGGATGGGTGAGCACTCGGAAATCACGGGGGAAAACATCTGGGGAAAACTTCTGGGAAGGCAATGGGTAACCACTTCTTTAGTGCTGCTGTGAGAATGAAAGGATGTGTCCACAAAGTGGTCAGTATCTTTAGATTACTTTTCTGCAGATAAAGGTACAGGTGTTGGATTTGGGAGAGGCAAGGTCAAGTCCCTGTTCAGCTAGATCTTCCAGAAGACTTCAAGCCAATCCATGGCTCTGCACCTTGCAGGGTGGTTGTGATGAGCCAGCTTCTGCATGGGAGTGGATCTGAATCTGGATCTCTCTTCTATTTTTTTAGAATAATTTTATGAAAGATTTTGTTATACAGATAAAATTAATACAATCTACACAATATAAATATATATAAAAAGAAAAAAGAAAGTCCAGAAAAAAGGAAAGAAAAAGAAAAAAAAAAAACCTCCCCCTTCATCCCCAGTAAGTATGATCAACATTAACAGTGTATCACCATCTCTTAAAATAAAACCAACCATCTCTTCATCTCATATCTCATCCCCTTCTCTATAAACCAATCTTTAAAGCCTCATCACTCCATCTTAATCAGCAAAAATCCATTAAGGGTTATCAAGAATAACAACGTAACTATTACAAACTATATCTAACAAACCCAGTTTGAATCCTTCCTCTTATATTTATATCTCCTTTTCCATTTAAACAAATCCCCCATCTCCTCTCTTCAAATAAACAAAACCTTTAAAACATTGTCATCCAGTCCTAGTCCACAGAATCCATTAAACGTTATCAAAGATAGCAACCCATTTATTTTAGCCTTGGTCAAATAAACTGATTTTATATTCTTTCCTCCTTCTCCCAGCAGTCTTTAGCCCCCTCAGACAATATCCCAACATCTGCTTTCTCCTCATACTCTCCTTGTCTCTTCTCCCAGAATCATTGGCATCTCTAAGAATCCCCTTTTCTAATTCCAGTATAAAAAGGTTATCCATGTCACTGTTCATATTCTCACTGTTTCTCCTCATGAAATCATTGACAACTTCAACAAGTCCCTTTTATAAATTCAAAGTAAAGAGGTTATCCACATCACTCTTCTGGTTTAGCATTTGTGTGTTTTTTTTACTTGTTAAATCATCAACTGGTTTCATTTGTAAATATAGTATTTCATCTTTTTGTATATCCACTATTTCATCTTTTCCATCTCTTTATAGGCTGTCATCTTGAAATCCACATTCAAATCGATTTCCATTTTTATTCAGTGGGACTTGTTCCTCTTCAGTGATATCAATTTTTTTCTATCATAGCAGATAACTTTAAAATTATTTTCTGACCCCAATAGTTATAGATCTCTCTTAACATAGCCATTGATATATTTATTTCCTTCTAGTGCCCTCTAGCGACCAAGCTTCAAAGTAATCTCATAAGTTCCAGATGTTGGAATTTCTTGGATTTTGGCTTGGAACTTTTTCAGGCAGCCCTCAGAGACAAAAGTGAGTCCTCTTGGTAGGCAACAGCAGCTTGCAACCTTCTCTGCCAGCTACTTTTCTGGCAGCCAGCAGGGAAGATAGCAAATGGTGATCACATGATCATGGGGTGCTTGGCAACCAGTTGTGAGGGAGAACCGATTGCCAAGAGTCCAGTTTGCCATAACTTCAGGCCAGGTCGTAAGTCCCTTCGTTCAGCACCATTGTAACTTCAAATGGTTGCTGAATGAATGGTTGGATAGCGAGGACTATCTGTACGTTCATATGCAGTTGCTGAAAAGTAAGAACAGCTAGCATGCTGTAGCAGTGTATCTAAGTGAATATGTTGTATTACCAAATCATAATCATATTTTGTGTCTGTTTGTTAGAAAAGTACTGCTATAGTCATTATATCCATTACAGGGTAAGTGTGAATTGGATGGCAACCTGATTCATTATGGGCTTATTTTTCATTTTTCTGGCATGCAGCCCAATTATCAGAGAGATACATAGCTTGTTGGAGAAATCTTGCAGCTCATTGAACATTGCATCAGGGTGATTAATTAACTTCTTGCCTTTCCTGTAACTTCAGGTCATTGTTTGAATAATCTAGAACTAATTCTCTTGCAGACAACACACTAACTGATATGTTAGATTTGGGATTGTATTTACTGATTTGTGAACAGTTATGTCTGATTCTGTGTGCATCCATCCATGCACATCTTAGGAATTTCTAAGAGGTGGAACAACATAAATTCATGCCACTTGAATTGTACAGGTAGTCCTCGTTTAGCAACCACAATTGGGACTGGCAACTCAGTCGTTAAGCGAAATCATGACCGTACGTATGACCTGACTTCAGCTTTCCTTTGCTTTACAGACCTGCAAAGGTTGTAAATTCAGGAATTGGTCATAAACTTCTTCATCACTGTCATAGCTGCGAATGGTCACTAAATGAGGCAGTTGCTAAACAAGGACTACCTGTAAATGTTTGCTTAGGTTAAAAATGCTGTAGATATTTTAAATGCCAGATTTTAGTAAATATTTTTCTGTTATTTTCCTTTCCTCATTGCACCACAGAAACAATCTAGTAAGTAGGTTATTCAGTAGGTTCACTTAATCCATTGAATTAGTATTTAAATTAATGCACAGTTCCATTATTTCATCTGCTATTCTGAGTTGTTTTACTAATTTGCAGAACTGATGTAGAGAAGTATTAATTTTGTCATAGAATATCTTGCAGAGTTGTGAATATTTAACCTTCTTGGGTTGCATCCAAGTTGCACTGAAAATAAGGAGGAGTCTTTCCCAACTAACCCTTTCCCAACTAACATTTGTAAGCATCTGCCCTTTAATAAAATTTGTTAGTTGGAAAAGGTGCTACCAGACTCCTGATTTTTTTGCCACCATAGACTTACATAGCTTTCCTACAATGTCTACATCCAGTCTGTTGAACTTTCTTATAATTTATTTTATTTGGACTTAACTACAACTTAGTTGCCATTAATTTCAGTTGGACCTACATTCCATTGATTTGATTTGGATTCTTAAAAGTAACATTTCACTAATGGTGTACAATAAATAGCAGCTAAATTGTTGAGTGATATTTGTATTCTCTGTGCACTTTGCAGATCATAGCTTTTTTAGGAGACAAAGTATGCTGGGTAATACTTAAAGAAAAATCAAATTGTGGTTGTGTTTCTAGTTATGTTTCGACTGTGGAGCAAAAAATCCAAGCTGGGCAAGCATAACTTATGGGGTTTTCCTCTGTATTGACTGCTCGGGGACTCATCGCTCACTTGGAGTTCACTTGAGTTTCATTCGGTAAGCAATTCGTTCAGTAATGCTTCAGTAATGAACAATGCTGTTCATTGTTTGGGGATGTTTTCCTGAGTTTCTGTGTCTATATATACATATATTTTCCTCATCTTGTAGAAAAGATGCTTCTTGGTTTGAATCTGTCTCTTATTCCTGCTGTCTTTATTGTGCACTGGTACAAAATGAAAATAGTTCAGCACATCTATATCTTACACGAATTTCAAAATATAGAGTATCATATAAAGATTTCACTTTCAAGCTAAACTTTAGATAATATTTAAACTGATGTCAGTTACTCTGACTTATATATGTTCCCATAGTTTTTGTTTGTTCTTAAAAATGTTGCATGATTTGTTAGCTGTACTAGAAATAGAAGTTCTTAAAATTAACATCTTAAGTATCTAATATCTATTGCAGCTCTTCAATTTTGCCATAGAGTTTTATGCCTTAGCTCTTTTGGACATTAAACAAGTTGCAGTTCTCTTCATAATTTAGAGTATCTTCAACTTTATTGTGAGTATTGTTCTATAGATCTGATAAAGAACAATCCTGTACTTGTGTCCAGCTAAAATGGGTGAACTTTGTATATCAAATATAGTAGCAGCTTTCCCAAGGTTTGGTATTTTTGTTTGACAACCCAACTCCTGTAAAGTAGTATACTCACACATTCATTGGGTGATTGTTCTGCAGTTGTCTATTTAGGTTTCAAAATACTTTCATTGACTCTCCGTCAACGTGAATATTGCTTCATTTGTTTTACTGGTTCCAGAAAACATATATCATAATGCTTTCTGCTGTGATTTATATCATCCAGTTGAAGTAATGTCCTATCTCTTTTCAGTAAGAGAAAACCTTTAATGATGGCTCTTCTCAGATCTAAAATCCTGTCCCATTCACAGAGTTCAGAAAGAGATGCTTGATCCCTTTTTAACTTTTTGCAGTGTTGAGTTCTAACAGTGTAACCAACCTGTTCCTCTCCTGAGTTCCATTTAATTAAGTTGTGATGAAAAGATCTTCTTGTCCTGCATCTGGGGTAGTAGAAAAGACTATCATACTTTCCCTCCCAAATCCTTAACCATTCTACATAGAGCTTGGTTTCCAGGCTGTTCATCATCTGGGTAATCCTCTTCTGAACTTGTTCTAATTTGTCACTGTCGTTTTGAGCTATGATGTTCATTTCAGGACACAGTATTCTAAATGGGATCTGACCAAAGCAGAATAGAGTGGAACACTTTCTTCTATGATCTGGACCTATATTTCTGTTAATGCATCAAGATAGTAGTTGTCTTTTTAGCAAATGCATCACACTGCTGATTTAATATTCGGTTTGAGGGTGACAAAGATACCCAGAGCCTTACATTTTTCCTACCAAAATGCATAACTTTAAGTTCTCCCTCTTAAAATTCCATTCTATTCATTTTAGTCCATTCCTCAAGCCTGTCTAGATCATTTTGGATATTGTTTCTTTCATCTGAAGAATTAACCATTCCTCCGAGGGGTTTTTTTTGGGGGGGTGGCTTTTATTTATTTAATTAAACAGAATAAAGAAAAAAATTAAAGAAAAAAGAACAAAAGAACTATGATATAAATGTTGTTTGTGTATATACCGTGCATTCAGAAAGTATTCAGACCCCCTTCACTTTTGTTATGTTGCAGCCTGATACTACAATCGTTCACATTCATTTTTTTTCTCAATCTACACTCAGTACCCCATAATGACAAAGTGAAAACAGAATTTTAGTAATGTCTGTAAACTTATTAAAAAGGAAACATTGAAATATCACATGTACTTAAGTATTCAGACCTTTTACTCAGTACTTTGTTGAAGCACCTTTGGCAGCAATTGCAGCCTCAAGTCTTTTTTGGTATGATGTGACAAGCTTTGCACACCTGAATTGAGGGATTTTCTGCCATTCTTCTTTGCAAATCCTCTCAAGCTTAATCAGGTTGGATGGGGACCATCAGTGGACGGTCATTTTCAGGTCTCTCCAGAGATGTTTAATAGGGTTCAAGTCAGGGCTCTGGCTGGGCCACTCT